AAAACATGTACCCGCTATAAGTATTAATAAAAAGCTCGGACCAAAGAGGTCACCTTAATACCGAAAAAAAAAAAAATCATTAATAAACTTGATGATAGTCTCTTTTTTTAGCAATATTTATATATTTTTGTTAACTTTTTCTTATCTATTTATTTATCCAATCCATATTACTTGTCTTAGCTATATTCTTAAAATTTTATTAACTTTTTTTATCTATTTGCTTATTTAATTGACACTACTTTTTACTTTTTTGACTATACTTTATTTCTTATTTAATTTATCTTATCTTTGGTTTCTTTTTTTTATAATGATGTAATTAACTTCTAATAATGTAAATAGTTAGTAAAATCTATGAGTAGCTTACTAGTATATACTAGAATAATGAATATTATTTAGAAAATTTCAACTAATCTATATAAGCCTTAGTCATTCTAGTAGGTTTAAGCTGCAGATAAATATGTCTAAGCTTTTACTCTTGCATATAGCATTTATATTACTTAGAGTTATAGTTTTATAGTTAGTAGTTTAATGGTTAGCTCTGATTGCAAGTGTTGGTTTTAGCTATAGCATATATAGACTTTTTTTTGTATTTAGTAACTCATGTAGTTACTACTTAATAATTATAAATAAAAATAGAAGCAAGACTTCATCTTAATACCAAAAAAAATAAAAATAAATAAATGTTTTTTTTATTTTTTGCTAATTAATAATTCAACATCTAAATCTTTCTTTTTATTTAAGTATGCACTTAACTAAACACTTTTGTAATTTTTTAAATTTTTTTTATAAAAAGCCTTTTTAGATAAAATGTTTATTTTTGCTAAATTTACTACATCTAGTTTATTATCTATTATTTATTTATAAAGTACTTCTATTTTGTAATTATTTGTTTGAGTTTTATTAATATTGTATGTTGTCAGATTTAGCTTAATTTTTATTTTATTTTATATATTCTTTTTATATATATTGTATTTTGTGTATTCTTTTTTGTTAATATATATTTTTTACTATTTGTTTGTTTTATAATTGCTTTATATATCTTTATTAACACTCTTTTATTATTTTTTGTTTTTCTATTAAAATTTAAAGTATTTTTTTAATAAAGTTTTAATTTTAATTTTTCTGTTTTGTAATAAAAAGTCTAACTTTATATCTATTATTACTAGATTAAGGGTATAGTATATGTAAATTATTTTTATATAGTTATATATAGTATATTAAAATTTCATCTAAAATTGATATATGTTACTAATAAAACTTTTTTATTTTTTAATTAATTAATAAAAAAATTTTATAATATTATAAATAAAATAATTTATCTATTATAGTAAAATTTTGAAATATTGTATTATTTTAAAATATATACTTGTATATATTACAAAGTTTTCCAGGATTGACCAAAATTTTCTGGGTTATACAAAATTATTAAATTTGATTGATTAATTTATATAACCTTATAAGTTAATTTAATTAATAAATTTTATATCTAATCTTTAAAAGGTTATAACTTATTAAGTTTTTACTTAATATTAATGATTTTACTATCATTAGAATTAGAAAAACATGCTCTACAAACTTTTTTTATAAACTAAAATAGTTTACTTAATATAATTTTTTATAAAATTAAATATAAAAAAACTTTACCATTAGGTTTATATATAATTTTAAAATACTACACTTTACTCTTAACCTTGGTAATCTTCTAAAAACTAGATTTTGCTAATTCAAACTTGGTTTTATTTCTAGTAACAAGTTTTTAGTTAACAATTTTCTTTCTCTTTTAGATAAATTTTTAGTTCTTTTTTTTGCTTAGTTTTAAATCTTTATTTAAATTCTTTGTAATATATTTATATTTTACCTTTGACTACTGTATTTTTTTTTTAATGCAAAATTTTTTGTTTATTAGTTTGGATTTTTTTTTTGTTTTATAATTATTTTAAAAAACTAAATAATTGTTGTATTATATTAGTTATAATTATACAGTTTTTAAATTTTTTTAATTTGCAAAAATAATAATTGCAAAGTCTTTAAAATTGCCATTACTATTTGTTGGCATAAATACTAATTTTGCTTTTTTATTTTTTAAACTCTGCAATAAAAAACTTTAGATACTTTTTTGAATACTTCTAAAAGTTTTGCTATAAAGTGACTATGTTTATTTTTTTGTTTGTATTTTTACTTTTTTGTGTTATTTATATTAATTTATTGTTGTTTAATAAGAGTAACCAGAGAGTTTTTGTGAAATTTCTGTTTGTTGTTTTAATTATTTTTTTTTTTTTTTAAATATTAAGGTGAGTACTTGTAACCCAGAATTTTATTGATAGTACATTCAGCTAATAGTTGCATTACAACTACAGGGGGCAATCATAGAAAGAGTGTACAACTAGCCACTTATACAACTTTAGTCATTGTCTAATTTAAGTAGTCTGCCCGAAGGTTCTACACTAGCTGCCATACCTGGAACCCACTTGTAAGTTCCCTATTTAACCACTCTGTTCCCATATCTACCCACCTACCTACACCTACCAAAATGCCCTGGTCAATACCAGTTCAAATATGCCATGGTCACTAAGTCTTTAAAGTAGTTCACTCACATGGGGAACCTTTGACTTTGTACTAAACCTTTCAGAATCTTCTGTATCCCATTCTTATAGCTGACCTGATATTGCTATGGCCGAGACTAATACTGGCAGTCAGGACGTACTATTAAACCACTATGCCCTTGTAGAGTTCATCCCAACCCCAGTACTGACTTCACAACATATTCTTACTACTTTGGTATTCAATTCAAGTTCCACAAAACTGCCATTCCAGATAGCTCAGAAAGGTAGGTCGAAACCATACACCTCTGGTTCATATGTTTGCTGGCATGTACCCTTTTTCTCCAGAACCCAAAAATTCTGATGACCTGGTTGGTTCATTCAGTCCCTTCTCAAAGATCAGTACATTTGCTCAGTTTTACAAGTTCTAGCTCTGTTTCATAAGTCTAGTCTTTACAGTAGCACTGTCGAAGGTTCGGGTTACCTCTCTACTTGGGTCTTCCAAGTAGGCTTCCACCTTTCTACCTGGTTCCCTTGATTTACATAGCCTAAGGACTTATCTTGGTTCACACCACCTGGTACTGGTTTGTGTTCTCTCGTATAATGTTGTATGAGTGCCTTAAACCTTTCAGTCATGCTGGTATGACACAGGTTACAGGTATCCTATTTCAACTAATCACAGAAGACAGTTAGCTGTAACACAGAAAGAATTGCAAATTTTCACTATCACTAGAATTTGAACTCTAGACCTGCCACTTGGGGGTTGACAACCTATCCACTTCACTAGGTTACCACACCTCCTAGTAATAATTTTTTAATTTATAGAAATTATATAATTATATAATAAATAAATTTATATTTAAATAGCTTTATAAAAATTAACCAATAATAATAAATAAAGAATTTTATTATTTTTTACCTATGCATTTTGCTGCTAGTCCACAATTTTAATTATATGTATAACTATTTTATTGGGGTGCACAATTATTTGGGTAACATGATCATATGCATAAATTAGTTGTTTATATTGCATTGTAATAGCCAATTTTTGTAAATTTTTTTTTAGTATAGAAAATATATCCACTTTCATGTCACTTGTATAATGTATGTTTATCAAGTTTCTTATAAATAATGACCTTTTAGTTTATGTTAATTAGCAAGTAAAAAATACTAAACAAAGTGTCATAATTGTTTTTTTAAATAAAGCATTATCAAAACTAATTAAAGCAAAAGGACCGAAGGACCATGATCAGGTGATCTGAGTTAAAAGTTTAATGAAACATCATATTTAGATCCAAACTTCCTATAAATAGAATTAGTGAAAACAACTTTCAAACTCTTACTAACTTTTGTCATCTTTAGTTTTAGTAACAGCATAAAAGTGAGTTTTGAATATTTTTTATAGCAATATATATGAGTACCACAGGTTTTTCTTGGCAGCATACATACAAATGATCAATATACTAATTATCCATATTAATAGTATTAACTAAGGACAAAAAAGTCTGTAGTTTGGCACTTTATTTAACTATGTTGTTTTTATGCTATTATTCTTTAAATACAGTACAATGAGTAAAAGCTCTGAACATGAATTTTCTAATGAAGCTATTTATATAGTGCCAGTGCTTTTTCAAACATAGGATAAAAATCAAGATGGATACGAATTTTCTGATGAGTTCAGTTATTCAGAATTAGTAGCTAAAACAGATAAGGTTGTTTAATATTTAATTTTGTGTTTTATTTAACCATTTTGTGTTCTATTATAATTTTGTTTTTGCTTGTAAAGATGTGTCTTTGTATTCAGAAAAAAGATTTTCTATATGGGATATATGCAAAAAGTATCTTAATGAATGAGCTAAAGAACAAGGTTTCTATATTGTAAAAGACTAAGTTCACTGTGATGAGAATATTGTTCGTTGATAAACTTTTCTATATGAACATAGTCATTTATATGATTCAATTTCTAATAAAAACATGAAAACAAAAAAAATGCAATGCTTTTTTTTAATCAATACCTTCTGTCCAAAAATAAATAATCCAGAAGGTTCTGTAATTGTTAACAAGATTATATTTGATTATAATTATCCAGTAAATCATAAATTAGTTGAGTTAGAAAATGCAAAAAAATTTACTAATTTAATGCTTGAGGATGTAAAGTTTATGACTGTGTTTTGTAAATTTAGTGCAACAGTACAAAGAAAATTTCTTGAAAGAAAATATCATACACACCCAGTTTATTCAAAAGACTTATATTATGCGATTCAAAAATTTTAGCCTACTGCTAAATCTTTATCTAATAATGCTATCCAAATATCAAACTGACTTGACCAACAAAAAGAAAATAACTCACATTAGGTTGTCTTTTGAGGATAGGATGATGATAATACCTTGACCTATTTGTTTTGAATAAAGCCAAAGCAAATTGAAAATTGGATTCACTATTCAGATTGTGTTTTTAATAATGTTATATATAAAACTAATCATTATAGCATAGCATTATTTTTAATTATTAGATTTGACAATAATTGTCAGAATATTTTGTTAGTACAAGCACTTCTTGCAGATAAAAGTCTTGAATCACATACTTGGATGTTTTAATAGGTAGTTAAAGCTACCAATATTCAACCATTAGTTATATTCACTGACACTGATTCTGCTGATAACACCACCATTTATCAAGTACTTACAACAACATATTCAATCCATTATGCATATTATATCACTCAAAATTTGCACAAAAATTTAAGAAAACAACTTAGTAAAACTTATCAAAAGTTCCTTAAAGATTTTTATCTTTGCTATAATAGTTTAAATGAGATACAATTTTAGCAATGTTTTGAGAAGCTTATTTGTAATTACCTAAGAGCTCAAAGTTATTTGGAATTTTTATATAAGTCAAAAAGTTGTTGGGCTTACTGTTTCACTAATTTTAAATTTACTAGTAGCATGATACTATGTCCCATATTGAATCTGTTAATGCATGCCTGAAGTGTTTAATTTATAACTCAAATACTTTTTTATATGATCTTGTATTCGAAATTCATAAATTGCTTGATATCCAAGATAAAGAGAATAAGTATAGGTTCTGAAAACTAGCAATTTCAAATATAAAAAATCAAAAAGTGGTTAACTTCTTGTTTACAAAAGTAGATCAATATATTTGACAGTTTCTTACTCTCACAATATTAAAAATACAACTGAATGAGATTAATCAATCAGTATATTATGTTGCTAATAAAGTTATCAGTATAAATATAGAAGGCTTGGATGATGAGAATTTGCAGTTTAGTTTACAAGAACATAGTGCTAATGATTTGCAGACTATGTTTAAACAAATGATTAAGCTTGTTGGATCAGATAATATTAAGGAAATATGGGCTATTAATATTGGCAATTCATTAAAAACAAAACACTATATTATATTATTGCACAATAGGTCTTATTTATGTTCCTGTCTGTCTATCATCCATCACAGTATTGTATATAGATATTACTTTCAAGTAATATTAGTTACAATTAATGCAAAGTTTCATATTAAGCTACTATCTTCATGATGGTTTTGTACAAATGAAAATGGAATAGAAGAGCCATTTTTGGCTGCAGATAAGTTTAGTGAAGAGGTTCAAAATCAGTTATGTTGTCCTTCTATTCAATACTTGTCCATTTGTAGCAAGGACAAGTTTGAAAACAATCAAACAATTCTAGAACAGAAAGTCATTTATAGAAAGCTTCATGGAATTTACAAAAAAGCTCTTTGTAAGGCATTGCAAAAGCATACAAAATTTCAACAGTTAATTAGCTTACTTCAAGATTTTGTCAATAAGAGCAATGAATCAGATTTAGACAGTTAACAAGATGATGATAGTGTTAATGATAATTATAGTGTTAATAATGTAGATGATGAAAATGAAAATGTTATTTCTTTTAAAAATCTGAAAATGCATCATGGCAAAGGCAGACCAACAGGCACAAAACGGTTTAAATCAGTATATAAAATACAAAAAGTTAAAATGAACCAACAGTGATATAAGAAATATGAAATGCTTAGCCATTATCAAAAAGCTTGCAAGGTATATTGTTTAAATAAATATTAATAATCTTAATACTACAAAATACTAATAATTATGTAGCTTTAACTATTATAGCATAACTAATACAATTGCAATTATCATATATACTAGCATTAGTAAGGATTTTTTTCTATCAATTTGCTTGTTTTATGTAATTAGCATGGATATAACTACATGTTTTATTTGAGATTTTAATATAATGCATTAACAATTTATATAAGCATTTACAATCTAATTTCACAAAGAATTATTTTTAATAACTGCTTTTCTAACATTTAAGAATTAGTCTAATTTGGAGTTAAAGTTGGTTTAGTTTATTTGTTAAAAAATCAGTTTTCAGAAATATTTAATGATGTATAAAGTTTAAGGTAATATGAATATATGTATAGTATAAATAACATATCAGTTTGATATATATGTTAAACATAAAGTACCTACTTTAAAGCTGTTATTAGTATTAAAATTAATACAATATAATGTTATATTGCATATAGGTTATTTATACTATATTGTAATTTTATAATTCCAAAGTTCAGATTATTATAGAAAATGATCAATCATAGTGATAGCTATAAACAATCATATTTTATAAATCGAGCTGATATCTTTCTATATCAATATACAGTGTAAAAGTCAATACTGCTTACCCTGGCACTAGGAATAGGCTGCAGCAATACTCCAAGAGCCTAAAACTTGAACTAAGTCTTTCCACACCTTGATCAAAGCCTGCCAATTAGGACTTTTAGTGCATTGTATAGTAGATTTTAGTTAGGATATAGGCTCAGGTCTTTGTGTAACAATTCCAAAAATCAAGTTCTATCTAGAACCAGTTTCAACTTTCTCAATAGAATCATAGCAAATATAAATAATTATTTGTTATATAGAAATTGGCTATCAATATGCATTACATATAAAAATATTATAAAAAATCTGTATATAGTTAATCTGTTAAAAAATATTTGTAATATGTAGTTATAATTTTATATATTAATATAAAGTTGATCACATGATTTATAAGAGCTAGTGGTATTTCACTATTGCAGCAAATTACAAAATCCATAAATAAAAACATCTTGCATTGCTAATTATAAAATATTATATTCAATGCATATATGCAGCAACTGCATATATTAATAATCCTAATTTACTAACTTCAACTGAATAAGATTTGTTTAAAATACAAACTAAAGATATAGTAACATATTTGCAAAATAATTATAACTATTATTAAAATAAAGTTTGCTAGTTTACAAAAAATTCTGATATAATACTTTTTAAACCAAATTTAATATTATATACTGATACTGTTACAAAGTAGATTTTAGTATAGTATATTATAAATAGCATTAGTAGTTATATATATTCTTTATTGTATTTT